TTGTCCTGTTGAGTCTCATATCGTTAAATTGTATGTTAATTATTGTTATCTTTATTGTTACATTTTTGATAAAGGCAAGTTATTTTTATATTTTTAATTTATAAAAGATAAATAATCATTTATTGATTAATGACACAAGTTACTAGTTATATTACTATTATTGCTGCGTATAATTTCATAATTTCAGACTGTTGATTACATTTTATATACAATAGAAAATTACCCAACTAATAAACTAAAATTATAAGATATACAAAAAGAGAATGAAAGAGAGACAACAAAGTCTCTTTACAAATTGTATTCAATTATGAATTTAGTAATAATATAGTAAAATTATAATCTGTTTGTCTTGTATTTATATCTGCCTCCTGTTACATGGAAAAAGTCATAGCATACAATAATTATTTTCAATTATATATGTTTACAGATTAAATATGATTTTTACATTTAATTGCATTTTTATGGAATATTTAAAATTATTAAAGCTCATCTTATAATTTTTAATAAAACATATAATTTATATTTAAATATTTGTAAAATTATTATACTAGTATGTCTAACAAAGTATTAATATCTATAATTGGTATAAATTAGAATTAAAATGAAATATTTAAGCACAATAGTTTGTTTCTTTTTATGAATTGATACATAATACAAAGATATAAAATATGTATTTATATATAAAAAAAATATTTATGCTAATTTATTATAGATTTACATGATGAGATTTACAAAATGATTAAATAATTTTCAGTCAATAATTATAAATGGTCATTTTTGTCAAAATACATATAAATGAATTTAAAAAAAAAAAGATTTTCTGCATACTTAGCTTCTTTTTAATTTACAATACTGATTTTGTATCTTTTTAATTTAAAATATTGATATTGATTATTATAATTCATACAACGAATTTAATTGACCAAAAATAATTAAAAGTGTCAAAAACTTAAATTTTAAAAATTAGATTAAATTATTAATTTTATAAAAAAAATCAGTGTAACAAAACAAGGTCAACCAGATTTTAAAACTTAATTATTAAAGGTAATTTTAAATTTTCGTTGTGAGAAATGCAATGAATGAGCACATCAACTTAACTTTGTAACTTTACAGGGTGTTTCTCTTACTATATTATCTAAAGATAATCTGTCGATTTATATATTATATATTATATATTAAATTTTTTTGTTTCACATATATAAATACAACAATTGTCTCGACATCGGTCTCTTAAAGAATGATAGCCAAATTATATATACTAATACCGACACGGTATTATTTGGTGGCACTCTTTTTAAATGACGTAACGAGAGATTCCTGTATATGTTATGTATAGAATACATATCTAACAACTGACTAAACATTCTTTTTATTTTAATATATTACATTCTGAGACCTTTGATATTTTATATAAAACGAGGTCTCGTTTAATATTATTATATTATATATTATATTTATATGCTAATAATTTTTTTTCTAGTTTAAAGTTTCATCAACAATGTCATATTTGTTTCTATCTTATTTACATGTCATGTTACATATTGTTATATGTGTTTTTATAGCTATATATACATACACAAAACATGGTCCTATATGATTTATATATTACCGTGTACATGTATATTATATTTATCGCCAATAAATTCATTATATTTATATAATAACATTATAATAAAAGGATATTTTATTACTGTTCATTCATTACTGCATATTTCCTTACTGTTCATATACATATTTATATAGGAAATATATTAAATAATTTATCTTATCCTTTAAAACCCTCAGAGAATTTAGTTTTTATATAAATGAGGATAATGAATATTTGATTTACATTATTGATATAAATTATTTATAAATTATTATTAAATAGATTAAATAAATTATTAAATTTTTTTATTTTGTCATAATTTTTTTAAACTTATAAACTATATTATAAATTATATTATTTATATTAATATCATGTTTTACTTGATTTAAAAACAAAGTTGGTACTAAAAAATTAAAGATTACAATAATATTTATATATGGTATTTTTTAAAGTATAATAAGTTATTATTTATGAATATATATTATGTTCTCAGAAGGTTCTTAAGGTTCAGTTTCATTATACCATATTTATTGTCGTGTATTTTATTTCATATATTAGTATATTGTAACCTTTTTAACTAAAGGATTCTTTTATTGAATGATTAAAATGAATTTATAATTAATTATGTACAACGTATAAAAGTTAGCTTGAAATATAATACTTAATTCTTTCTTATGATTATAATATATTTTAATATCTCATTTTATTTCATAGAATAAACAACTGAATAAATAAATCACAATAATTTTAAAATTATTTTAAAAATAGAAATAATTATATATGTAAATATATAATAAATAAATAATAAATAAATAATAAATATAAAATAATAAATATAATATATATAAATAATTATAATTATACTATTTAATAATTGCAAACTTAATATATTACAATTTAATATAATAACAAAAAATTTTTTTTTAAATATACTATTAATATTTTGGAATAGATATATTGTAATATTAACTTTAAATCATATATTTACGAATATGAAATATATATAAAGATGATATATATATTGTAATCAAAATATAAAAATTTAAAAACATACTGTAATAGATATATTATTATAATTCCAATAGAAAGAATTATTTGTTTTGCTATTAAGTGAAGAATATTTTGTAAGAAAATACTATACAAAATATATGGAAGATGCAGATTTGTGATATATATTTTGATCAGAAGAGATATTTTAATACACAATTCAGAATTCATATATTGTACATTATGCAACTAAGTTACAAATTCCTTTATATTGATTTTTATTATATATATATATGTCATTCAAATAATTTATTATGGTTTATGAAATTACAACAATAAAGTAAGATATTAAAAAAATTTAATATTAATATTTTTGATTTTTTGTTAAAAGAAAAGAAAAAGAAAGAAAGAAATAATTTAAGATCTTTAATTATTTTAGAATTATTTTTTTGTTAAAAAATATATTTTATATTTAAATTTACTATTTTCATATTATAAATTAAACATATTCTTTTTAATATATAAAAATAATTTTTAATAAATTTGTTTTAATTATGTTTTAAAAATAATTTTATATAATTTTTTTACAAAATTAGTTGCATAGTGCACATTTATAATATTTCTAAAAATTTAGAAACATTTATCTTAATTAATATTACTGATGAAAATATATAAAAAATATTATTGATGAGATCAAATTATATACACAAATAAAATTTTAATACCAATTATTTTGACTATCTATCACTGTACAAAATACAGTAACATCTAACTTAATG